TATATATATATATATATATATATATATATATATATAACCACTAAATATCCCGTTGAGTTTGCTATAGATATTTGGAGCAGATGAAAGAATGGGTGGGTATAAGAATTCCAGTACTAAATAAGCAAAGTATGATTCAAACTAGAGATCATTGGGGGATAATGTGGTTCCCACTGCAAATAGAAACACTAGTATAGCCCGTCACTTTACACGGTGATCATAAGCTTTCTTGCCCAGCTGAAAAACAGAACCATACTCACCCATCCCGGGTAACATCGATCCTGCACCAACCCCCAGTTCTGCCATCAGAGCTGAATATTCACTGTCCATCTTAGCTCGTTCGGATGGGTTTGTGTTCAGTTGGTCCGTGTAAGCCATACCACTAAGATTGACCTTACAGTCCGTTGACAAGTGGCCAGCACCTGAAATAAGACCATAGAGGTAAACACATATTCGAATCAAACAACGTTTAACCCAACTCAGTAGGTGTTCGTCTGACTGGTTTGATGAAATGCAGGATACAAGCTAGATCGAACTAGGTGATTAACAATAGCAGAGCAAACATAAACTACGGTGGCCATCAGAACATGACACGCATGACCGTCAAGTATGGCGCTGAGGTGGAATGCGTACCTGACAGAGTGCATATTCCGTGCCCGAAAGTGCGGCAGCATCACGCGTTACCAGGGAGCAGCCTGCTAAATTGGTACAAAGTAGCGGCAGATGACACGTTAGTACCAGTAACAATAGATCCCTGTATGAAACTGTTCATTACTCGTATTGTGGTCCGAAATGACCCGACCTCAAGAGTCACGTTTGAACCTGAGACCTTCAAAAGTGCCAAGAGAACTCAGCTCCCCAGTTATAGATTTCATCTTTATTGCAGGAGCTACGATATTCCCCCAGAAAACCCTTAAAAACCGTGAACAGAGTAAGGTACTGGAATCCGGATTGGTCAAAGTGGACGTACCCCCGCAAATTCCACACTGTATCTTATTGGTAGCAATCGACTGAGCCTCAGCCATTGCGCGTAGTTTCATTAGACCTTCATGTTCTCTGAGTGTGCCGTTGAGTAATGCCAGTTCACGTAGCTGTGCTCTACGGAGATCATTTTGACTTTCTGGGACTTCAATACCCTGGCGGATTATTTCATTGATTCGCCGAACAGCCTTTTGTACGGCTTCTGCTACTGGCGCGGAAACAAATGCATGTAGCGGTTCGTCTTCACCAGGCAATGGCAAACCATCGCGCCTACCAACTTTGCCCTCCTTTACAGAACCTTTCCCACGTATGATAATTTTCGCGCCGGTCTGCAATGTACAAAAGGATACAAGATTATTCAGGTACCAAGAACATCTAAACGAGCTGAAATAATACTGAAATCTGAAAAGTGTGCATTAAGTTGCACAGTCGCAAGGGGCTAATGAGACAATGCTAAGTGGATAAAATGTCTAAAATTAACGAAGGGCTTAATACTCAACTTGAATCATTAAAAAAACTCACCCAACATATCAGTAACATAGAAATGAGGTGAAGTAAAATTGCTGCGGCGATCCAATTCACACCGCTTTTAAGCGAATTCGGTAATCTAACATCATCATGTCGAAAACTCACCGATATGTGAACAGAACAAGGATATCCGTATTCCCAAATACAGCGAAGATCCAGAAGACGTAGGGAAGAAACATCCAAGGGATGAGACACAGCTGCACAGCACAACTACCAACCAATTGCTACACACTACTACGCTTCCTAACGACGCGCTGATGATGTCAGCTCCATTGCAATCAAATTGCCCAGCTCAGCGAACAAACCAACGACCGACCAGCTGCATGCATCCGGTTACGATCCCATGTTGTGTATAGGGGGTAGTCTTAATATGGGGTAAGCTGTGCATACGCTGTTTTTGCGGGTAAGCGCGTCACTCTATTTATTATGAGGCGCCACATGGGCCAGCGATTCTTGACAGATACACCCAAGCATCACAAGATTCGCAAGGTTACAGAAAGGTGTCGAAACAAAACCATACCACCGTTTTGCAGCTGATGCGACTTTTTTGTTTAAGTGACAGGAACCGGCCACAAACCTAATTTTTTTCCTTATACGCGACTAAACCCAGGTCCACGGAACAACCGGTTCAGTAAACAAAGACAACGAACAAACGAGCCACGCTCGTTAGTAGGTGAACCCGTAAGTCCCACACAGTTACACCTATCATCATCACGAACAGTATAACACCGTTGTTCAACACTGATGCTTCGATGCTATACAGCCATTATTTATTTGAGTCTTTTTGTGAAGAATGACGGTGGACAGGGAAGGGACTCAGTGCCACTGTACGACAATCATTCTGAGGTGCCTAGCTCCAGACACCCATTCACGCAATCTGGATAGAAACTGACAACAAGAACGCTACTGACATCGGTTGGTGGCCATGTCTTACAGCGTTTCCAACTAGAGGCAGTGCAAATCACGCGGTCTCTATCCTGAAAGGCAAGAAGCACCGACAGCACATAAATGTTTCGTAACCTCCTTCATACAACTCTGTCAGCTCAAAGGTTGGCCACCTCTCTGCAGCCACCAGCCTGAATTGAGCATGGAAAACAACACTCTTCGGCAAACAATGGTTCGGCATAAGCAACGCGTGGCCTAACCAACGCAGTTTCTGGTGCCGGACACGTTATTCAATGAAAGTCCCCGTTGAACAACCGGAAATTCGCTTTCTAACTGCCTAGTTACGGATTCCCGACACCAGCCCACACAAGCTATGACAACGATTGTCGAACACCATGCCATCCGAAGGAAGCACAAGTGCCGAGTGCACCTTCCTGGATTGTAAGTAACGTGTTCAGTGACTGCATGTCTACGAGCACGAACTTACATTTTGTGAGTGCAAAGTGCGTTCCAAAGGACGTGATGACTTGGGTCAATTCAGCAAAAAACACGTGTGCCCCCTCCTATTCGAAGATGAGAAAGATGTCGTTTGCATATTTCAGATCGACAAAGTTTTCGTCAGCAGCTATTCGGACACCGGGGTTCTAAAAACCTTCCACCAGTGTTCATCTCATTATCTCATCGATCACGAAGTTAAATGGAATGTAGAGAGTTGGCATCCTTGATAGACATTGTATTGTGTACGGAAGCTCTAAGAGTTCTTCGTATACTCTTACGTTCGGAAGTCTGAAAATACAGAGTACTATTATGTTCACAAACTTCTGGGGCATTCCTTGATGGATAAACGTGTCAAGGAGAACAGACCGAGCTGAGTGCGCCTTGGAAACCCAGGGATACTAAAACTGTGGGTCATTTGTATGTATGACGTTATTCTAGCACCTGACTGAGTGTGGAGATTTGGTCAACACAATCCTCACCGGGTCGGAACCCCGCTTGCTCCTCTGAGTTCGTATTTCTCGAGCCGGCGCAAGGTGATGAAGCGCAAGTGATACCAGCAGTCTCGCTATAACCGGGGTTAAGCTGATCCCCACACTCACTACGAGCCACTTTATTGAAAATCGCAATATGGGCACTTTATTAACAACTTTTCGAACTAAATGGGAAAGGCGATTGTCGGAAGATCGGTGGTAAATTAACTTTTCGCTCGACATCAAACATGGAGTCACTATTGACAGTTGTCCGAGAGGAACAACTTATAAGGGCTTGTTATCCAACTATAAACTTCGCCCTTAGTCTGTTCTCACGTGCGTTATACTTCCGGTGCCCACACCGCTGCAACGGGTCTACATCTCAAACAATCCAGCTGTACGCTTTTGTTTCGTTCACAGTGGTCTGTTATCTGACTATTACTGGGCTTGTGACATTTAGGCCCTTCATCCAAACTGTGTTAACGATTTTGGCAACGGGGTCGGGTGTCAACTTGATGGTGTGACCACAACCAATGCATCATCAATGGCAGCAACATCGGAGAACATGTGTTTCACTGCTGTTTAATTGTTGTATGGAGGGTTCGATATTGCCAGGGTGACCACACCTAAAATAATAATGGCCGTTCAGTTGTTGCAACTTTTCGGTGCATAGCTGCGACGCTATGTGAAGGAAACATTAGGGCTGATGTGCTGCCAGGTTGCGTTGGACAGGTACGTCCGATTTGTTGCTGTTGGGTTCGAACCACGGACCTTCCGGTAATTAAGTTTGCACGCTAACCACAGCGCTATCTCGAACTCGGCCAGAACTGAACAGGGCGATGTTCAAGACCCAAAAGCCTAACCGCGAGGTAGCCGTAGTTAGTGCAAGGTAGCCAGAACAGTCGACATTTCTAAGGGACAAATCGCCACATACTTCAAATCCGGACCTGGAGACTTGCTCAGACATCTGCACATTGAATAACCCGGTATGAAGGACTAGGAGTGTCGCACATACGCTTCTCAGTATGTTACTCAACGGGTTACAGGAGTGTACAAACCATCAGAATGCGGTGAGGTCCAGACTTCTCACGGCAACCATAGCCGATGAAACGTCTGTAACCAAGTGCACCAGATACATGACCTTAATCATCATCGGCTGTAAGAACCGCATTCTTGAGGTAGTCGTCATATCTGCCACAGTTTCGCTCACCGATAATTTGGAGATGTGATGAATAGCTGTTCACCGGAGCCGGCAGCTAATATAACTGATGAGCCAATACAGAGATGTCAGTAGACTTTAAATTGGGGATATTGGTGGGGGAGCTATGCTTTGAAGGTAACACCTTGTGTGCACGGGAGCCACTGGAGACGCGACTGGGCAAGGTCTGACAACCAACCAGGTGGCCGGTTTCGGGGTCCCCATCCAGGGGGACGGCAACGACCAGCACAGTTAAGTTTGCTGATAATGGCTTTCATACTTTGATGCCAAGTCATTGTTTGACTTCCCTTGACACATTATTATCCGCGTGCGTGTGCGGGGCTCTTAGAGGTCGGTCGAATGGCACAATGAGTACGTGGCCAAGGTAGCGCAACCTGAAAACTATTCGACGTACTCCAGCATTACTGATCCGATGCTCCGAAGACATCGATGGTCAAACAGTGAAAGCTTTCTTGACGTTCTCAGTGCGCGGTCGGCCAGGTTTCTGACCAGTAAAATAATATGGAGCGCACCGCAGCAAACTCGACCCTTGACGGGCAATCTGATACCTACGTCACATGTTATGCAGGTTGTCAAAAGCGCTGTGGTTTTCCCAATACGGATGCAAGTACGATGTTTTGTGAGACCACCGCTTCTGATACAGCTACCCATGTAGATAAATCCGTCTACAACCTTACTAGGCGTGAAGTTAGGGCTCGAGTCCACACACTCTTACAGCAGCACTTAACACTTGGCAGGTGTGAAGCGCATGCCAAACCGTGAAGCAGAATTATTTAGACCATTAATTTCATGCATTACGACGGCGTCAGACCCAAGATCTATGTCATCTGCGTACTCAATATCTGTGACCGAACACACAGGGGACACTGCAACCCCACAAGCATTAGAGCAAGGTAGTCGGTCTTCCGTAATCGTATCAATGACGAAGTTCAAGAGTAAAGGCGAAGGACAGCCTCGCCTTACACCACTTGATGTAGTTAACTCAGGCGAGAGCTTCCTGTAGAATTTCACGCGGGAGTTGGCGTACAGCGCCTCAATGAGGATCAAGAATTCATGAGGCGCACGTTTGCTCCAACGCCATAGTGCCTGACGGTCTACAGAGTCAGTCACCTTTCAAGGCAATGAAGACAACCACTGTTGGGCGCTGGAAAGTTGCTGTTCCGGAATCTGGCGGAAAGGTAAATCCTCTTGCAGGGCGGAACCCTGGATGGTTTTCATGGCTCTACCTCTCCCTGTGTTCAGTCAACCTTCGAAGAATAACACCACAGAATATCTTCAATGTCACAGCTACTAGGCCCATGCCACGGTAGTTTCCACACAGCGTCCGCGTACCTTTGTTTAAGATAAGAACTGGCATGCCCCACTCTACAGGCACCTTATCTTTGTTCCATATCGCACCAGTAGACCTTGTTAGATGGACAACCAGGAACTCTCCGCCTTCTTTGAAGAGGACTGGATACAGAGCGTCTGGTCCTGGTGCCTCCTCATGTTTTAGTACGGATAGTTCGTACTTTATTTCTTCTTCCGGTGGGCGATTGAGGTTTACATTCCATTCGCCCGTGTGCATTGGTTTCAGAGGCTGTATTGCAGGAGGCTAGCTAAGTTAGCCTTCGAAGTGTTCGGCCCATCTTTCCAGTCAACGAGTGAATTATTGAGCCGCCTTTTTCATCTATCGTTTCGTTGACCACTGCTTTTCTAGGGCTAGTCGTTCGTACCAGTTTATATAGGGTACAGTTGTTCCCGATAGCAAAAGCATTCTCCATCTTCTGAAGTTCTGACGTCCATCAGAGCTCTCGGTCTTTTTTGAGGCTCTTCACTATTTGGCGTTTGAGGGATTTGCGTGCGCCGTCGTACTTGTTGCCTGTTTGTACGGCTTCAATCAGGACTAGCAATCTCGACGATACAAAGTGGTCATTTGATTGTACTGTGTGGCATCCGGTATGTTCCCACGCTAGTAGTGGAGAGGTCTGGCAGACTCCTGGTCCCTCCTATGCATGCAGTAACCTGTACCAGAGCCACCTTCTAGTCAAGTTTTGATCCAATGGCTTCGTCAGTGTTGAGCTGCCTGACGACAGTTCAGCAAACTTATGACGATAAAACAAAATTATCTCCAACCCACACCGGCCGTCAGGTGGTCGTATCAGCCAGGTTGCCCTATTCGCCGCGTATAGCAACTAAACGAGCTGATTCTGACTGCTGATGCTTCTAATCCCTCCTAACCCTCATCCGGCTCCACTTAAGTGGACGTAGTTTTGCCACCTGGCGTTCTCCTACTGCTGAGCGACCACAGCCAAACTGACCATAGGGTCAGAAGACAGCAAAATTAGCACGCAACTAGTGACCAGTTCCGGATACACATATTGATTCAGAAAACGCCGTCGTCCACACAGGTTCATGAACCAAAAAACGACCCCCTCTTCCTTGTTTAATTGTTAAAAGGCTTCATTACGGAAATAAAAACAAAATTCAAAGGCCGGTGCAGCCAAAGATGTACGGAAGCGTTTCGCTTGATCAACACTGTATATTGATGAGTTAACCAGTGATATTGGAAACCCAATGTACGGCGAAAGCCAGCCTCCGGATCCCTGAAAAGGATATTTCTAATTGATTAGTTGGTCAGTGACTTTTGTATCAGTCTCATGACCCGTTCCACTCGAGAAGTTCTAAGGGTTTTGATCCTCCCCTAGTTTATGCGGTGCTATATCCTTCGCTCGCCAAACTGCCAGGGTACATGAGTTTCCCCAACGCCACTTAAAGACGGCAGCTTACTCTTGTCTTGTTCGATAGTATCTCGCAAAAATAACGCGTCCCGATGTGGGGATAAACGATCATTACTCCCTCATTAAAAAGATACAAGGAGCAATTATTCCAGTTAGACGAACTCGTCATAACACGGCTAATAACAAGCAAATCCCTCAACTGTGACATTCTTTCAGTACACAGGTGCAACTCGAAGGATGCCGAGGGCTATAGTAGTACCAGATCGCACAAGCCTAGTCAAGAGTAATCGAAAAATCGGGGTCGGGTTCGAACCAGACTTTCTAGTCAGTAATTTCGTATCCTAACCACTGAATTATCTCGAGCCCGCTCACTTGAGTAATGGTGCATCCTAAGCTCAACAAGTGAGACGCAGTTACCAAAGCATCAAGCAGGATTTCTTGAAGGCGGAAAGTGTACTGCCTACATCATCCTATGTAACATGCTTGAGTAAGGTCATCCCACGATCCCGGTTTTCCTTCACTTGAGACCTGACTCCGCACTTGATGAAATTATGCATACTTTTGTCAGAAGAATGTCCTAGAAGTTTGTAATGTGCTACCTACTCTCGCATTTCTCAGTCGAACAGCTCAGGGGCAAATGTCTTCTCCAAACTAAGGAGACCGGTTAGTGCTGACTTCTACTACTTGCTGTGCAATTTTATCATCGGCATCGTGGAATACACAAAACTAAGCACTGATGATATTGATACCGAAAGTACATCTACATGAAAGCCAACAGAGTTGAACTAGGTGGATTAGTCTTGTTACCTGACAGTTGTCAGCTTGCGGTTTAATCCAGAATTTACGGTATGTGCTTCTCACATTCAAATGAAAAAATCGTTCAGCTGTAGCACCATTTCGGTTACTAGCTGACATGCCACACGAAGGATGCACGAAGCACGGAGGACGCGAAGGAGATACTACCAGATTGCCGAAGCCTAGGCAGGGAAGTCGAGGCTGAGGTCGGGTTCGAACCACGGACCTTCCGGTCAGTAAATCCGTGCTTAACCAATTGAACCATCTCGCCCCCACATCCAAATGATAAAGTACTGCTTCAGGATCTCCCGTCCTCGAGCGCCTCTGAAACTTCAAGCAGAGGAACCTGAGATTTTCACCAGTTTACTTATCTGGACAGCTGCACAAACTGCGACTAGAATGCGAAAAATGAGTCAGCGATAGCACCACCGCCGAACGAGTACAACTGGTCAAATCGCGCCATTCACGGCATCTGGAACAAACCTGTCTGATGGAGTGCGGCACACGAAATTCGGGCTCGAGTCGGTGGAGAACAGTATTCAATGTACCCACACACAGAAGAAACCGGGCTGTTGGCAAACGAACATCCGATGTGCAAGATTGATGTGGTTATTTAATAGGGGACACAAGGATCTTGGAAGCCATTCCTGTGAAAAAGGTTGTACGAATGTAACAGTGAAAAAATTGCCCATGCAGTGAAGCAGAACTCAAGCTGACGTGCCGTAAATCGCTCAGGGCGATTGGATAAAGGGATCACTTAAAAGCATTCACTTGCAAACCATGGCTTAAGTTGACCCGCGAAACGAGATGGAGTTCTTAATCCGCACTCAACTAGGAGCTAACAAAACCGATGATCATACGGACCTTGGACTACAGAGGAGCGAACGAAGGGCACAGCTCTGTTGACACTAGATTTACTTCGCCGAAGCCAATCGAAACTTCACAGACCATTCCTACCACTCTCGGTGGGAGCCTGATGGCGCTCCCCTTGGCCTGACAGGCACAAGTCGTGATTCTATCCATTGTTTTAGCCTCCCCGTCGATGATTTCATCCGAAGGTGAAACAGCCTGACATGACACGATGCCGCCATTGAGGAAGGCTAAGGTAGGAAGTCATCACCAATGTGTATTGGCGACCGGCTATTCATCACACACTACTTACTGGTAATCTCCCTATATTGGGGCGCGCCCGGAACTATACAACTGTCACTGATACTCTGTAAACCGGGGAACTAATCATGCTAGATTGCATTGTGATGTCAGAGGGTATTTGGTCAATCGGCGAACAGATTAGAGCGACTGTCCCGTATATACACCTGCCACGCATGCCCGACGTCACTCGTCCACCGCCTTATGGTGGCCCGTGAAACACTGACTCGGGTAGCAAGCAGAATTCCGGTCCGGTAGGAGTTGTATTGGACCAGTCTTTGCAATCCATCATCATTTTTAATATTCCTGAATTTTTAAGACGCATCTGACTTAATTGACCTATTTTTTCTCCTTAACACGATTGCGCAGCAAGGAGTGCTCCAGACATTCCTGAGCGTGTGTTTATATTCACAGACTTACTGGCATGAGTACATGAGCACTCTAAAAGATCCTGTATACGAAGTGGTAACCAACAAGGGTGCCTACTCTACCATTTCTAACTTATTTCAGTGACGGAGATAATGAAACGAACGCTAAAAGCTTTTCAAAACGCCGGTGTCCTATAGCTACTGTTGAAAACTTCGATGTGAAATGCACAGTTGGCGTTGTTTTTGTCTTCGTGGAGAAAGTACAGATGTTTTTGAATTAACTGATCAAAGTCCCACCCTTCATGTGCTTCACAAAAAAAAGTGAGGTCATGCTTCCGAACATGCACTCAATAAACACGCCATTTACAATCCAAGAATAGGCACTCGGTGTACAGCGTGTCAGCAGTTTCAGCTTCAATTGCAGTGGGATGGATGAGGTTAATGCGAGAATTTCTGGGCTCGGTTTGCGTTTGCTAGTCTGAGATACAAACTGCATCAAAGCAGTAGACCGCTCAATTTCGAGGGACCGTGCATCAGGGTGTAGTGCGAGTTTCGTTTTATGGCTGAAGTGGCCTTTTTGGGCAGCGGAACTGAGTGCCTCTCTTCCACCACCGTTCTCTCATAACCATAGCTCACGTAGGCTGGTGTCGGCGAGCTCATAACACAATTAAAGAGCGAATGCTCGGGTGTGCGACGAAGACTTTCATCAAATGTATCTTGGATCAGAACCTGGGTTGGTTGCGCCGTATTTCTCATACCAAACCATCGTTTCCCGAAGAAAGTCGCTCTCCGCGCCCAACTTAGGTTGTCCAAGCGATGGCTTACCCTCAATCAAAAAGGTTATGGGAATCAGGAAAAACCTGGGTGCTGTCACCATAACTCGGCTTCAAGAATGGAGCCTGCATGATTCTCGCAGAGTCGGGTGGGAGAATCTGCAAGATACGGTTGCCAATCGATGTCAGTAGTGTCAGCTTCTATTTAGATTGCCTGAATGGGTGTCCGGAATGCACCAGGGTGACATGGTTGTGGTTGGAGCCCGAATTTAGTGACCGAATGGTTCGCGACTCGAAACCGACCAGCGTATCTCCACTTCCCCTGTCTAGGCTCGGGTAGCCTGGCGGTGTCCCAGTCCTCGAGCTGCGTTCGGGTGGTATCGCAACCAGAAACTGAAAGTGTGTTACAGCTGAAAGACCATTATTATGGTGTAAACACTAGGAATGATTGTTGACCTGGCTGCATAGATTGTTTTTGGAGCGCGCCATTCCGCTGTGAACAAAACATTTGAGCTATCCCATCGTGGGGCAAGTTAGTCTCCCGCAGAGAGAAGTTTGTAATGTCAGGGGAGGCACATTTTACGTCGGATGTAGATAGGAATTAATATACGAAGTACTTACCTCCTTCTCCAGAGCCTTGAGTGTGTTCCCCCGAGGCCCAATGAGCAAGCCTACGAAGTTTATGTCAGGGTGATTCTCCTGCGGAATGAACACCTTATCAGTGACTCGGTTCTGTGGAGGTCTTCAGAGGGCTGGGTTTGCAAGAAAAGGGCCTTACTTGTAGTCAGTTGGTGGCTTGTAGTCTGGGTTCAATTCGGTAAGCTGTTGCACCAGAGTGTGACGCTCGTCTTCCATCTTCTTGCGAGTGCGGTATTCACGAGTGTTCAACCGCTTTCCCTCACTGCTGTAAATCGGTTCCGGTGAAGGAGACCTGAAAAACAGCGAGATCTTTAGAACTTAGCGAGAATCTTTAAAACAAGTTGAATTTTTTTGGAATTAGCCCTTACCCTTTAGGTAGGGACCGGATTCGTTGAATGTGAGTTCTCTACCAATATCTCTAAATAAGGCGTTAATTGGGGCAAATAGCTAGACCACCTAGTACCTCGTTTTCAACAGTTAAAATGATAGCATAAAGTGAACAAAATCTGCAACACCTCAAATAAAACTAACAATCAGGCTAACCTGTCTTCGGGGTTCTTTGGGATGCCTAGATCGCCGGATTTCAACCGTCTCGATATATCCTCGATCTGGAGTTGAACTGAAACAATAGGGTGATGCAAATCCAACGCTACTGATATATATCTTTTCTTGCAACGGAGTCATATTCGGAGGAAGCTGCGTAGGCATCCCCGGAATGTATGTTCGATCGGAATCGGCGGCAGATGACCATCGTGACTTTCGCTTCCGTGGAGTAGGTTCAGGTTCTATCGCCATACATGGAACTGAACCAAACGACCAGAAAATTGGATTACCTGGTGACCTAGATTTCCTACCATAACCATACGAATCAGAACCGTCAGAGATTGCAAGGATGCGTTTGCTCATAGTATCGCAAGATGGCGAAGCCGCCTTCCGTGTGACTTAGTCGTAACTTCTCTTGGTGAAATAAAACAATAGTCCAGTTCAGTTGTGGCCGCAGGACGTCATGGCGATGAACGGTTACATTCAGTTCCTCGCATGGATAAATTCTCAGAGATCTCCAAGATTGCCATTATTTCCCTTGTGTGTCGAACTTTCATGCGTTATGGTTTCATTGGCCATACACTCTGGGAGGCTAAAGTCCCGTAAACTCAAACAGTAATCGCATCTGCACTCAGAATATTGCGGTGGCAGAAAGGAAGTCTCTCACTGGACAGAAGAAAAGTAAGGCGCAAATGCGCGTGCCAAAAGATCATTGTACAAAAAGTATGATCCCCGTGGCCAGTATGACAGACTACGCATGTGCAATATTTGATGGTCCGGGACCACCGTTGGAATTAACTATCAAGAAGCCATCACTGATTACCGAAGGGCTGTGTATGGGTAGAAGCGAAACCCAGATATAGGAATACAGGTTGGCTGACCCTGTGTGTTGCTCGTTTGAGACGCGATGTAGGAAGCAGCTACAGAGCAATCTGGAAACATGATCCGGAGCGGTACCACCATAAAAGATAAGCGGTGGACAAAACAACCCGCAATAATAATATTCCTTCCCAATTGCCGCCCAATCAGCCTTATAAGATTGAGGTCCAACCTGGTAATTCTCTCTTTATTCCCTAGGCGACCCGTTCAACTCTGCTTCGATGTAGGCTGTGTAGCCCTAAAGCCCTAAAAACAACTGCTGGCGCCTGTTTCGGCTTGGTTGTGGTTCATCAGTACCTTTGTTGCCTCTTGGTGACACTTTCTCGTTTTCTACCCTATGCTTACTTTAGCCCATCCTTTGCGTTTTCTGCTCATGAGAGACCAGCACTTCCGGAGGAATTCTTATCCTGGAACACACTACACAAGCTCTTGCTGAACCCTTTGGGCCTGGACGGTGTCTCTTAGAGTATATTACCTGGCATACTTTCGTGGCATACTTCCATTCGTCTGCAGTGATACCCGTGGAACTAAGCAAAAACCAAATCTATTCCCAGTACTCCGTCTGAAGAAGCGGTGACAAAGCACATACACGACGATGTCACCTGAGGTTGACAGCAGGAATTTGTTGTAGCCTGCCCTGCTGGCAGTTAGTAATCCCGTCCAAATTGACCTGAGACTTCGTTTCATAGTGTTCCTCCCACATGTAAACATCTCTAGTAAAAATGTCTACCAGTTACTTAATGACAACTTCCTGGTTGAGCCTCGCGCAACCATCCCCTCTCCATAATATTACCCTTACGGCCTCACCAGTCGTGGGTAGATCCAGACTTATATGCTCGAAGAAGGGTCACTTGTCTCCCTGCATTTTTTGATCGCCAGGACGTTATGGTCCTCCAAGAGCTCTGTCAACCACATGGCACCCGTAACCCATCTGGTCGACACACCTGAGGATGCAGGATGGACACGCCCAGCCTAAGGTTATTCACAAGCAGAGCACCCATTTCTACATTTTCTGCGTCGATCCGCTTTTTCGTAAAATCTGGGCTGAATTCCTTGTTATCCGGAGACTCCAGGCGAGTTCAAAATACCGAAATCTTACTCGAATGCGTTTGCTTTCAAGGCTAGCAACCATACACCCACAAGCAAAAATCACCACGGAAGCCAGGCTTTTTCGAAGCCCTCCGACATTACCCATCACATTCACCTATAGTGCCTGGTGAGATAACAGTGTCCGGCCACATGCTCAAGCCAGTCTACCAAGTGATTTCTGTGCCCACGGAACTCCACGTTCCATGGACGTAGAGTAGTATTCGGCGTCGCATAAACTGCGACAACCACGCACAGTCCATTCCCCCCACCCTATCTATCACACCCTCGATAGGCCAAATCCGAATCCATTCTAATGAGCACAATATCGTTTCTACAGGCACCTGCCAAAAAGCACGTTCTGCAGTGGATCCAAACCAAGTTGCTTCGAAAGAACGAGCATCTATCGGGTTCACAATGCCAGGGCAAACCTCGGTTCTTGCCCTTAATCTCTGTTGACAAGTAACCCGAATAGCAGTACATCACTCTTCGCTCAGCCAATATACTCAGCTACCAGCTACCGCAGTTCAGTGTGAGATCGGTAGAGAACGCCTTAAACGAACTCGCGCTCATACTGGCCACCCAAGAGATCGTCCATAATCCTTGCGTAACTTGGCTTACCGTTGGACTTATATTGATCACCACCTGGCCAGTCCGTCGTTTCACCCCACATACATGACACTCAGCTCTCCTGCTTCCTCTTGCTTCCAAACATATTCGCGTTCCACACTAACAACCTCATCTGCTAAACTTCCCATTCAACTCTTTTCGTCCTGGAGCAAACTTCACTATATGCACCATTTATTCCCCTCAATCCAGTTTGTTATTCTCAACCCACAATCCTTCCAAACGTTTTATTGGAAGTACACCCCCTTCAAACTTATTCCACCACACTTATCTACAAACCATTAACATCAATCCTGTGGTAAATAATCTTGAACTAACACAATGGTACAACTAACAAGATGGCCCTAAAACGCTTCTGAGCCAACTGCATCGCCCCGAGTAAGAAGTCCCCGCTTGCCGCCGCCACCATTTTTTATCCCAAATTTCTTTTTCAGTAGTGACTTACCTCGGAGCCATTGGATTCAAGTGTCTCTGGAAATGGCACCCGTAGTTCTGCCCTCCAAAGCTCGGCCCTAAGGTGCATGCACCGGTGTCCAAGAAACTTTGCTCAATTAGCTTCTTCATTTCCAATTTCGAATTGAAGAGCTATTCTGCTTACCCCACGAGCCCTAGAGGAAGACATGATTATTCCGACCTTCAATCAGGCCCTCAATCACTCCCAATTTTCCAACTACAGTTACATCGGTGCGCAATCATTCAACGGGTCCACATGTCACCAATCAGGCTTTAAGGCTTTCAATCAGCGAGCACTATGCGCTCATGGGTGGCATAGAAACCTTACCAATATAACCATTTTTGCCACAGACGCTTACCGCTTATCTTCAAATGGCGAAATCGTCAAATGAAATGGCCTACGATTGACAACATCATGGGGCATGTGACCTTGAGCTTGGTAAACAAAAATGCCTCGTGTTTGCAACATTCTTTGATGCCACTTTTTCTTCTTTGTTGCCCCTTCTCACTTTAAGGTCATCGAGCCCAGTTATATACAACATAATTGAGGGCTATCTCACGATGAACGTTCCCCTCCCTATTTTGTGAAATCAGACCATACACGGGTTCACCATTGTTGCTACAATCGGGCAGTGATGAATGCGACATTTTTGTCGACCTTCAGACATTCACCATTTCATGGTGATTGATAAACTGAGGCTCCCGACGCCAGAACGGCTGCATCGTCAAACCATTACATCTTGAAATTGGGTTGTGTGTGCTGTCCCATAAACGTTATTTTTTGCCTTGGTTTCCGTCATTAACTTGCTACGTTTCACACAACAAAACAGCGGTGGAATCTCTCGCACTCTGATGTTTTGTTTTGTCTGTTGGCAAATGCAGAATTTGGTGGAATGCACACTCGCATAACCCACGTCTAAACAATCGTCCTCACGTCTTAACGCGATAAATCAGGTGAATCCACACCAAATGGCGATGAGTCGCTGGACTAGAGTTCCGCTACTATGAGGGCCCAAAACTAGTGCATATCCAGTAGCCGTTTCGGGATTTGAACTCCATATACCTGGCATTTGGGATGATTGTGTTAACACTACTCCACCAGTGCAGACTGTGATTTTTTATGAAGCAACCTTTGTAGGTTATACCAGCAATTCGTCATTCATCCAATAGCTGTTCAGAGTGTGGTTCCATACAGGGCTGATTGGAACCGTCGGATTCTGTCAAAGATAATTGCATATGGTTTAACATCATATTAAACGTTGGATAATGATAATGATAATGTTCATTTCCCAACTTGTGGATGGCATACCTTCGGGCATGATCATGCGTTTACAGTCAGAATGGGGCATGTGGCTGGGGAATTTGTGGCTACTGGATATTCCGCGAAAAGGGGACAGTGTTATGAAGAGTGAGGAGTATTCGATGGAATAATAATAACAGGTTTCTTTCGCAACTTGTAGGGAACAATGTGCACGAAGTCCAGTCGGTTGACATGAACTAAAAATGGAAATCCGCTGGTGGTCATGAGTGACCTTGGGCGGTTGGGTAAATGGCCGGAGTCACAACGAGATGACGTAGGGATGCAGATGCGATAATTCGAATCGGGAGAACATGGCAAGTTTAGTCTCAAAAATATGGTGCAATCTGAGAACAAGAAGACTCACTGGTTGCACTGTTGTAGGAAAGTTAAGTGCTGGGGTTAGGGCACAAAGGTGGTTGGATTCGAACGAGATGTCCAACAGGTTGGAATGAATGTCGTGGTGATGGTTGGGGTCAATGAATCATATAGGCAAGTGAGCTCGTTTAAGAGGAGGAATGGAACAGTTGCGGGTGTGCTATCAAACTGATTAGGGCAGTGCCGTGCCATCATTGGCCTGACATGCTTCAGTTTCTGGACAGCCCCGTGATGGACGTCGCATTTGAGATCATTCGGCTGAGGTGTATAGTTCATTGGGCAGCGGTATTCATTTCATCCAGGTCAGGAGGACAAGGTGGAACGAGGCCAATATGGGATTGTAGGGTTTTTTGTGGTCCGCTTGGCGATCCTGGAGTTGTAGGTCATAGGCCAGGTGGAGTGTGTATAAGCTAACCAGGACGTTCAAAGTGGGTACTTCCGAAGTTCAAAGCTTGGAATGATGATCGGATGGGAGGAGATTCGCAAAACAGATGAATTTGTGGGGATATAAAATGGGATAACCTGCATTAATAAACACAGGAAAAAAACTTGACGCCTGCTGCAATTAGGGTGATGGCAAATGATTATATGGAGTAGGAAATAGATAAATTTGTACTTACGAGGCTGGCGACCAAGGGTTGAG